TCATCAAACCGACTAAAACAAACGTGACCCCTAAATTGTCACTACTTCTTCAGAAATTCATAGGTCCATATTTAAGACCTAATTGGAAAAACTTAAGATAGGCCTAGATCCAGGAATAGGTTCTTACAAAATGTTAGAAAAGAATAAGAAGATAATCCCACAACTTTATCAACAATCGTAGCCCCTAAATTGTCAATACTTCCTCAGAAATTCATAGGTCCATATTTGAAACCTAATTAGAATAAATGAAAATAGGCCTAGGACCAGGAATGGATGTTAACAAAATATTAGAAAAAAACAAATAAAAAGATATTCCCATTAATTTATTAAACCCACTTAAACAAACCTAACCCCCAAATTATGAATACTTCCTCATAAATCCATATATAATATTTTAGATCTAATTGATATTAATTAGAAAATGACATAAATTCGTGGATGGGTTAGAAGAAAAATTAGGAGAGACAAAATAATAAATAAATAATTGAAAATGATAGTTGCACGCCACTTGTTTGCCACTTCCTTTGGCACTTAGCTTATATGGTAGGAGCAAGGAATATTCTTTATAATAGTAAACGTGAGTCTCGACTTCCCGCTTGAGGAAGGTCAAGGTGTGAGAGAGTGAACGTACGAAGGACTAACATCAGACAAGTTCAAGAAACGCCGCCAATGTTGAGTCTCCATCCCCGTTTTTCTTACCTTTCCACTCCCCACCCCCAACTTCCCCCAAACCCCTTCCCCTATCCTTCGTTTATCTTTTAATACTCGTTTACGTTTCGATTAATCGTCGTAACGTAACTTATCATTTAAAAACAAACAAAACTAAGTTAATATATACACATTCGAGTTATGCTAATTCTAACTAATAGCACATTAGATCCGTTTGTATCCGTTAGTATCGTTTAAGAAAGCAAGAAAAAGAAGATATTAATTAGAATAGTTTATCATCACTGTCTTAGATTTGTAGAATTTATGTGAATTCAAGAATTACACGATTAAATTGATTTGTTTTTATTAGAAACATGCATTTGAAACTTCTTCCTCATTTTTTTGTATTCTTTATTTTTTTTTTTTTTTGTCGATTAATTATATATACTAGCTTTTTCTTTTTTTTTTTTTAGCGAATTCGTGAGAAAATTTACACTTTATAGGTTAGGTTATAATTTAAGACTTGGTTTTTTTTTTTTTCTTTTTTATGATCTTACTTGATTATATACTCTTTCGCATTTAATTGATACATTCAACAATTTAAATTTACACAAGATAACAAAAGAGGAATATTTTATAATAATTAATAATAATAATAATTATTATTATTATTATTGGTATTATTATTATGTTTTAATGTGTTAAATAATAATATAATTAATATAAATATAATTTATAATAAATATAATAATATAATATTAAAATAATAATATAAATTAATATAAATAATAATAAATTATTATGTTTATTATTATTATTTATTTATATGGGTATATAAAATAAATAAAATAAGTGATATTAATAATATTTATTTAATTATGTATTTTAATATACTATATCTCTATAATATACTATGTCTTTAGGTACTGTAAATTTTCAATAGATGGCGTTGTATTAAAACTCAATTATTTCGATATGTATTCACGCTATTTTTTTTCTTCAAATTTACATATGACAAACTAACCTTGCTTTTTATATTTTTTTTTTATTTATTTCATTCTAATTGTGGTATTATTATGTTGTCTTTTGTTATAATTTACTAAAAATAACTTAGAATTATATTAAATCAATATTTTATAACATGGAGAGCATATTGCAATACATTTTACGTGTATGAATACAGACATACGATAATGGTGAAAGTAAGTAGGTTTTTCTATTGATAAAAATAAAAAAAAATAAAAAGAAGAAAAACGTATATACTGCACCCAACACTCATACATTTACCAATAAGATAGCATAGGTGTGTTCCTGTTTGATGTTTCTTTTTAAAAGGAAAGCCTTTCACAGGAAACGTTTAATGATCGATAAACGCATCTTTCAATTCTTCCGTACCTGTTTTAAACGATATTCGATCAGAAAGTTGGTACTCATGAAAACCATCACGTACTATCTTTACGATTATATCAAGTTTATTCCTCGAGAAGGTTTAATTTGATTTTTCTTACATTGAAATAAAATTCTAATCTCACCTGGTTAAGTTACTTATGGGATAGATGCAATTAATGGTTTCACGTTAATGCAAATCGTGTTAGTTACTTTGCTTTTCTCTTAACTAAGTATTAACTGTATTACAGTTAGGCCAAGCGTATGACCTCTATTTATGACCGCAACTACCAATACATTGCTCGCTGTTTTAATTAGTAATTAGGTAAGGTGTTCGTTATGTCTTATTATTTTCATATATTTTGCATTGTTTTTATTTTGTTCGTACAAACCGACCTAGTATACATGATATCACTATTGTTTTCGTATTTATTATAATTAACGAAATTTAACAAATATCTTTTCAATATTTTAAGAAATAATTTATTATAGTTTCAAATATTTAACATTTATTATTAAATAAATATTTAAAGAACGGTTCGGTGGCTCAGTGCTAGAATCTCCGATTCGCAACAGAGAGGTATCCCGGGTTCGAATCCCGACAGTCCGTGAAAAATAAAATTTATTTTTCCATGTATCCCGAAAGGGAATCATCATTATTTTAAATAATTAAATAAATATTTATATTTATTTTAAAATATATTTATTCATTATATATTTAGAAATATTTAATGAATGTATTATTAATTCAAATAATATATATTATATTAATTTAATAATATTTATTATAATTAATAATAAATATAAATTTAATAATTTGTATTAATAATTAAAATATTATATATTAATTTAATAATTTATATTATAATTAAATAATAATTTTAATATAATATATAATTAATAATAAAGAATATAATAATAATTATAATTATATATTTAATAATTTGTATTAATAATTAAAAAATAATATATATGTATATTAATTTAATAAATATATATTTAGAAATATATAATTAATGTATCATTAATTAAAATATTATATATTAATATAATAATATATATTAAAATTAAATAATAATTTTATTATAATATAAAATTATAATAATAAACAATAATAATAATTGTAATGATATATTAAATAATTTATATTAATAATTAAAATAATAATAATTATTTTATAATTTATATTATAATTAAATAATAATTTTAATATAATATATTAAACATAAATATTTATACAGTATGTTAATAGTCATTTTATTACTGGTTACTTCAAGTATTTTCTACGATAAATACTGTAAAATATATTATTAAATTATTTCATTATTAATACTCATTTTTAATTATTATTTTTTTATATAATATGTTGCAAAAAGAAATATGTACTAAAAAATTTATCTTAATAAGTTAAATTTGTAATTTTACTGATACAAATTGACACATATTTTTCTTTCGAATGAATTTGAAATTTGAAACGATAAAATAAACGAGCAAAAATTTTCAGATGAAAGAAGAGAAAAAGATCAGAAAGGTTATGAGAATGCTAATACTAATAATAATAATAATATATTTTACGATGATTTTATTCGAATTATAATTAATGGAGAAAGTAAATGTAAAAAAAAGGTTAACAAGATTTTTGAGATTAATACTTGTGTTTACCTATTTATAATATATTTTACAACTATTAGCTATAAAGAAGTGTTTCTTTCTCTTCAATGAATTATTTCAATCGTAAAGTTAAATAAAATTTAACGGTTACGTTTTATGATAAATAATTTTTTCTTTTTTTTTTTTTTTATTGAAAAATCATCTGTCGCGGTGGAAATGATAAAACTGGAGCAAATCTGATACGGCAAGATTTAACCTACTTGTTGATAGAGAAATTACCGACACTCGTGTGACTCGTATTATAAAATATTGCAAGTATTATATATATATATACATATAAATATATGTATATACATATGTATAAACAGTTAGTATATAAAAATGTATTCGTACAGCAATCGATTTAAAACATAAACTTTGTAGAAAAATATTAACCAAAAATAAATATGCATGTATAAAAATATTCTTAATAATTTTCTAAAACTAATGTTATTAATAAATTATTATTTATTATAAAAAAAAACAATAACAAATATTCAGAAATTATATATAAAAGTAAATATATTAATGTAAT